AAAAAAGGGCTGGAGTAGTGACATTGGTATTAGACAAAATAGCCTCTAGATAAAAGATGTAAGAAGAGACCAAGAAGGACATTGTATAGTACTAAAAGGACTTGTCCACCAAGAAGATATAACACTTGTAAATATCTATACACCCAACACTGGAGCACTAAAATACATCAATGAGAGACTGTTAGATAGCAAGGGAGAAATAGATCGCAACATAACAATTGTGTGGTATCTCAATACTCCACTGACTCCTCTGGACAGATCATATAGACAAAAAATAAAAGAGATAGAAGATGTAAATGATACCATACATGAAATGGATTTGACAGACAACTATAGAGTATTTCACCCAACTACCACAAAATATACATTTGTTCAGCCCCTACATGGAATATTTTTGAAGATTGACCACATAATAGGACACAAAACAAGCCTTTACAAATTCAAAGGTATAGAAACTATATCTAGCATCTTTTCCAACCACAGTGGAATTAAACTTGAAATCATCTATAGAAAGAGTCCTTGAAATTTCACAAACACATGGAGACCAAACAACCTACTCCTGAGTGACTTTACAAATATAGAAAAAATTAAGACTGAAATCAAAAGGTTCATCAAAACCAATGCTAACAAACAAGCAAGTATTTATAACCTATGGGACACAGCAAAAGCAGTCATAGGAGTGAAGTTCATAGCAATTAGTGCCCACAAGAAAAAGGCAGAAAGGTAGCAAATAAACAGGTTTATGACACAACTCAGGGAACCGGAAAGACAACAACAAAAATTCCAGGAGAAAAGAAATAATAAAGATTCAAGCAGAAATAAATGAAATAGAGGATAAAAGAACTATACAGAGAATAAATGAAATCAATAGATGCAGAAAAAGCATTTGATAAAATACAGCATACCTTCATGATTAAGACTCTCAGCAAAATTGACTTAGAAAGGACATTTCTCAACACAATAAAAGCCACCTGTGAAAAACCTATAGCTAATATCAAATTGAACAAGATGGCTGCCCACTTTCTCTACTCCTTTTTAACATAGTACTGAAAATTTTAGCCAATACGGCTAGACAAGAGAGTCAAATAAAAGACATCCAAATAGGAACAGAAGAAGTGAGATTATCTTTATTTACAGATGATATGAGGCTATACACAGAAAATCCAAAAGAGTCCACAAAAAAACCCTACTGGAAGTGATAAATGAATACAGTAAAGTGGCAGGATACAAAATCAATATATGAACATCTATAGTGTTTCTATGCACCAACAGTGGACGAACAGAATTAAAGAAAGAAACCTCATTTATAATCACCACAAAGCCAATAAGATATATAGGAAGAAACTTTACCAAAGACATCAAAGATCTCTACAAGGAAAACTAAGAAACACTAGAAAAAGAAATTTAAAATGATACCAAAAAAGTGGGAAAACATCCCATGTTCCTGCATTGGAAAAATTAATATAATCAAGATGTCATTTCTATCCACATTAATCTATAAATTTAATTTAATGCAAGTACCAGAGCAATTCCTCACAGAAATAGGAAAAAAAAAAATCACAAAATTTGTCTGAAAGAATAAACAGGTCCTGTATTACCAACGCAATACTGTGCAAAAGGAATTAAGTAGAAGGCATCTCACTTCCCAACCTCCAAACATATTACAAAACCGTGGTAATTAAAACAGCATGGTATTGGCACAAAAACAGACAGGTAGACCAGTGCAACAGAATTGATGACCCCCCCCATGAACCCTAAAACATACAAGTAACTGATCCTTGACAAAGGGCACAAGACAATCCAGTGGGGGGGGGCAGGGGGGATATCTCTTCAGCTGGGAGATGGTGCTGGGAGAATTGGATATCTACCTGCAGAAGAATGAGACTATATCCTTATCTCTCACTACTAACAAAAATTAATTCAAAATGGATTGAGGATCTAAACATAAAACCTCAAACTATAAAACTACTGGTAGAAAACACAGGAAAAACTCTTGGGGACCTGGAAGTAGGACAACACTTTTAAGGAAGACCTGCAAAGCACAGGCAATAGTCTTCAAAAATAGACAAGCGGGACTGTATTAGTCTGAGAAGCTTCTGCACAGCAAAAGAAACAATAAGTAGAATGAGAAGACAGCCCTCAGAGTGGAAGAATATATTTGCAAGCTATACCTCAGATAAAGGACTTGATAACCAGAATATACAGGGAAGCCACTTACACACAAAAATATAATCAATCCAATTATAAGATGGGAAAGTAAACTGAACAGACAGTTCTCCAAAGAAAACATGCAAACTGCCCAAAAGCATATGAAAATGTGCACAATATCTCTTATCGTAAGGGAAATGCAAATCAAAACCATTTAACCCAAGTCAGAATGGCTAAAAGTAGAAAAAGAAATAGTGATAAGTGCTGGTGAGGCTGTAGTGAAAGGGGAACTCTCTTACACTGTTGGTGGGAATGCAGATTAGTACAACCACTTGGGAAATGATATGAAGATTCCTCAGAAACCTACAAATAGAACTACTAAACAACCCAGTAATTCCACTCTTAAGTATTTACTCAAAGGACAGAAAAATTCTCGGTCAGAAAAACACTTGCACATTCATGTTTATTGCATCATTATTTACAATTGCTAGGACATGAAATCAATCCAAATGTCCAAAAAGAGATGATGAATTGAAAAATGTGGCATGTGTACTCTATGGAATACTACTCAGTCATAAAAAAACAAAACAAAACAAAACAAAACAATGAGACCCTGATATTTGATACAAAGTGGAAGACTTAATGCTAAGTGAAGCAAGCCAGACTATGAAAGACTTTGTATGTCTCTACTCAGTATATACCGATTGTCTGTGTTCTGTAGTAGGAACTGAAAGTTTGGAAGGTATAGAAGCAGGGAGATACTATAGATACTGGAGTATATAAGGGTAGGGGTAATATGGGAGTGGGTAATAGAGGGAGGAGGGGAACAGGAGGAGGAAAAAAAGTACATTTAATTCACAAAAAAAGTGAAAAGCTATTTGCTGATGATAATGTATATAGTAATGTCTTTATATTGACTGATATGCATGGTACTCGTGCTGGAAAAAGCAATGTTGTATAAATGTGATTAAATGTAAATTAAAATAAAAAAGCTTTCTACATATTTTACTATTATTAGTTTCTAATTTTGATGTTGAGCTATATTTCATGTAAAGTTAACATAGTTGTGTTGAAATCTATGTTCTTGATTTATCTTTTTATTCATCCTACTTTTTCTCAGTTCCTACTTCCATCTTTTCCTAGTTTTTTAAATTCATTATATATTTAAAAAAAATAAAACCATTTTGGGCCAACCGATGGGTGGTGGTTAAGACAGCTGGATCCCACTGAAGGATTGCATGGTTTCAGGGAAGTGGTGGCTTGGAAACACACTGGGTATATTTGCATGCCCAGAATCCTGAAAAGGGAAAAATTTAGAAGGCATTGCAACAAGACCATTCCCCATAGGGGTGATTATCCACTTTTTCTTTCTCTCTCTCTCTCTCTCTTTTTCTCTCTTTCTCCTTGTCTCTGTTTCTTTCTAGGGAGTGAGTGTACACATTCTTGGCAAATTAAGAAAAATAATCATTTTATTGTATTACCATTATGGACTTATTAGTAATTTCTCTTCATTTCTTAGTAGTTGTTTATGGCTTATACTATACCTCTTTAAGAATATCACTGATTTAGATTTAGAAAATGTTAATGGAAACCCTTGATATCAGGAGAATGGAGCACTAAACAGTATGTCCTAGTGATGGTATATGGTATTAAAGTACAGTTTTGTCATTATTTTTAGTCTTTTTTGTTCCTCAAATGCTTCATTCACATTCTTGCCAAGGAACTTTTGTACTTGCTACAATAGTTCCTCCTTATCCTTGGTTTTACCTTCCCCAGTTTTAGTTCTCCTTGGTCAAAAGGGAGCCAAAAAAATTAAATGGAAAATTTCAGAAATAAATAGTTAATTAGCTTTAAGTCCCATGTCACAATGCCCATGTCATTCACCTCAGTTTATGTCATCACATAGGCGTTTTATCACCTCACAACATCACAAAAAAGATACGATATTGTGAGAGATCACATTCACAAAATTTTCATTTTAGGATATTGTTAACATTTGCTCTATTTTATTATTATAGTTGTTAGCTTCTTATTGTGACTAATTTACAAGTTTTATCATATGAATGTTTCTACAGGAAAATTATTCATTATAGTTCATAGCTATTCACTATTTCAGGCATGCATGAGGTGTGTGTGTTGGGGCCTGGTGGGCGGGAGGGCACATCTTAGAAGATATTCCCCCTGGGATGAATGGGGTCTTAATGTGTTTCCTCTCCTTGGAACATTCTTTTGCCAGATAGTGGTAATATGGTTTATCCTTTGTCTTCTTTCTCTGCTACTCAAATAATGCCTGATCAGAGAAGACTTTCCATGTCATACTACTGAACATAGTCATTGTGTCCTCTTCATGTCTTTACTTTTATTTAAATAAATTTTTTTCTTCATGGCCTTTATTCACTGGAGCTACATACTGTTTATCTGGAGTTCTCCCTTTTTTCTTTTTACCTTTGTATCACTGCCTCCTTCATCAACTCCTGATAGTAATTGTACAATCAGTAACAATATTGTATGAATGAGTAATATTGAATGATACTCATTTGTGTCTGTTTGTGTACAGTAACTTAGAAAAGAGACCTATCTAATTATTGAAAATATGATCAATTTACTTTTCAGTGTGAAACATAAATATATTGATCAAAATCCTTTCTTAAGTTTATGTATTCAACAATGGAATATTACTAAAAACTTAGATTTGATATGTTTACCCCTTTCAAAAGCTTTTTCCTAGGTTTTTTACTCTTAATTCCTGAACTGAAGTATCCTAGACCAATGTATGAATTTCAGTGTCATTAGAAATAAAACTATTTATAGGATTATAGACCAGGAAACTAATTTAAATTACTTTGTTCTAGTTCCAAAAATTAGGACATGATCTTGAAATGGTACTATCTACTATTCAGTCAAAGAATGAGAAGTTAAAGGAAGACTTGGAAAGGTATATTTATGTTATAATTACCATTCATTGTTGATATATGTTACTTCAGGATTTTAAGTTTTATTTGACTATTTTGTTTTCTCTTGTTTAAAGGGAGCAGCAGTGGTTGGATGAGCAGCAACAGATAATGGATTCTCTGAATGTACTACACAGTGAATTGAAAAATCAGGTCGTGACTTTTTCTGAATCCAGGTATTAATTTTAAATTCTAGATTTTTTAAATAGGAGAAAGTGTTTATTTTTGGGGGGTTTGTTTAAATGAAATATAGATCAAAAGAAGGCATATTTTACTAGAAATCATGATTCTTTCCCTTTTTTTCCTAACTTTTTTCAAATATTAGTTACATGATCTTTTATGAATGACTTGATTTGGTTGAACCTTTAGTTTCCCTATAAGGAATACTACTTTTGTAAAGGTATTTATTTGGTTTGAGCAAATAAAGTTTCAATAAAGGTTTTGGTTAATTTTATGAATGACCAGCTACATGTCCACATATATTTTATCATGTAAATGCTTCTCTTATTTTTTAATCTATTAGAATCTTTAATGAGCTGAAAACCAAAATGCTTAAGGTAAAAGAATATAGGGAGAAACTCTTGATTACCTTGGGTGAATTTCTAGAAGATCGTTTTCCTCTGCCTGACAGAAATGATGCTAAAAAGAAAAAGGTAAGTTTAAAAAAGGTTTTCATGTAGATAATCATATTTGAAATTGTTTTGGGTCGTTCAAAAGCAAATTTCTTTTGTATAATTCAAAGATGCCACATAGATACATATGCAGAAATATGTCATCATTATCTTTATTGAAAAATTCTAAGCAACCTAATTATTTAAAAATGTGATTAAAACATATTTTATATTGTATCATATGGTAGGAAGAATTCAGCTTTTAAGAATAATGTGTTAGTGGGGCCGGCAGGTGGCATGGTGTTTGGGCTACTGAACTCCCTCCCGTGTGACTGACCATGGTTCTAGTCTTGGACCTAGTGGCTTGCTTTCTCAGTTTTCTTCCTCTCTCTCTATCTCTATCTAGTCAAATTAGATAATAATAATAATAAATAAAATTAAATGAAGTCATTCTTAAAAAAAAAAAAATCAATGTATTTGTTGGGACTAATATATGGCATGGTCATTAAGGCACTAGACTCCCATGTAACTGACTGCAGTTCAAGTCCTGGACCCAATGGGTTACTTTCTCACTTTCCCTCTTTATCTCTCTTCTTTCTCTGGTAAGCACAAATGCCCTATAGCAAAATAATAATAATAATAATAAGGACGCGAACCACAGTCAACTACATGGGAGTCCAGTGATATAGCCATTACGCTAACTACTGGTCCCAGTATCAACTCAATTTTTATAGCCCTGACTTAAGTACAGTAAGGTCATTTACTTTCAGAATTTTCTAAACTCACTCAATTATTAGTGTTTTGTTTTAGTTACCTTGTTTTATTACAACTAAGAAATATTAATTTAAAAAACTCATACAGTCAGGACCAGTAGTTGGCCTAATGGCTATGTTGCTGAACTTCTATTTGGTGGATCGTGGTTCAAGTCCAGGACCTGGTGGCTTAAACTCATGCCAGGCATGTGTGCATATGTGCCCAAGATCCCAAGAGGAGAGTGGGGGAGAAGGGGTTGCTGCGTGGCCATCACCACCCCTGGGGGATAATTTCTCACTTTCTGTCTCTCTTTCTCTCTGTGTCTTTCTGGCAAGTGCATGCGCCCTATAGAAAAAAACTCTCAAAAAAACCCAAACAAACAAACAAACAAAAACCTCATACAGCCTAATATTCTGCCATTGGGAAAATTAAAATATTGATTATTTCTTATTCATATTTATCCCAAAGAAAAACATTCAAGAATCAACTGCACAGCTAATAACACTGCATGAGATGTTAGAGGTAAGTGCTTGTTTTACTTTAAAGCTCTCTTTTAATTAGTCATTTGTGAACAATTTTACATAGGCATGAAAAAATAATATTTTAATTTTTAATGTTATGCATTAATCTTTATTATGTATAGTTAAAATAATTTATCTTTAATATAAGATTTACTATCTTTTGTACAGTACGATTAGTTGGCAACTTTGTACTCTGTCTGAAATTATGTAAGTGAGCTTAGATTCTATCCACAAAGTTGTAGAAATTTGTGCACAATTTCTCTTAAATAACATTAGTCTCTTTAAGGACCAAGTATTTACCTTTTCTGTTTAGCATATACTTATTTTAAATAAATGTTTTACGGAACCAGCAGTTAGCATAATGGCTATGTCGCTGGACTCCCACGTAGTCGACCACGGTTCACGTCCTGGACCCGGTGACTTAAAACTCACTCTGGGCGCGTGTGCGTGCGTGCCCAAGATCCCGAGAGGAGAATGGAGGAGAAGGGATTGCGGCGTGACCATCCCCCCCAGAGGGGTGATTTCTCACTTTCTGTCTCTCTGTCTCTCTCTGTCTGTCTGGCGAGCGCACGCGCCCTATAGCAAAAAACCTCTCCAAAAAAAAAAAAAAAACACAGTCTAAAACATATATTTATTAATTTATTGACGAGGTTTTTTCGCTATAGGGCACATGCGCTCACCAGACAGACAGAGAGAGACATAGAGACAGAAAGAGAGCAATCACCACACCCGGGGGGTGGTCACACCGCAATCTCTTCTCCTCCATTCTCCTCTCGGGATCTTGGGCACGCACGCACACGTGCCCACAGTGAGTTTTAAGCCACTGGGTCTGGGACACGAACCGTGGTCGACCACGTAGGAGTCCAGCGACATAGCCATTACACTAACTGCTGGTTCCCTAGAATGTTTTAAAAATAGTTTTCAACTTCAACTGGATTGTCAAATATATTAATAATCTTTAGAAGACTTTGAAATATTTTAAATTGATATGTAATAATTGTATATATTTAAGGGTATAATGCTTTTTTTGATTTTAAATACAGTGTGATGATCAGATCAGCATAATTAGCATAACCATTTCAAACAGTATTACTTTGTGTTGAGAGAAGATCTTGTTATGGCAATCTGTGGAAAATTGGACAGAGAGCAAAGTAAAATAATCTATGAAGAGCAGGATTTTGACCAATTAATTTGCTATTTTGAAAATCATTGATGGGACCAGCAGTTAGCGTAATGGCTATGTTACTGGACTCCCACGTAGTCGACCGAAATTCGTGACCCAGACTTGGTGGCTTAAAACTCACGCCGGGCGCGTGTGCGTGCGTGGCCAAGATCCCTGGAGGAGAATGGAGAAGAAGGGATTGCAGCGTGGCCATCCCCCCTGGGGGGGGTGATTTCTCACTTTCTATCTCTCTGTCTCTCTCTCTGTCTGTCTGGCGAGCGCACATGCCCTATAACAAAAACCTCTAAAAAAAAAATCATTGGTAAATTTAGAGGAACAAGTGATTTCACAAAACGTATTACAATGTAATTTAATGAAATAGGTATAAAAGGTTTTATTTTTGTTCAAGATGTAATTTTGGTGCCTCAAGATTTCTGGCTTTATCTTTTTCTTCTATTTTGGAGAAAGGTTTTTGCTATAGGGCTCATGCACTCACAGGAAGGGTAGAGAAAACAAAAAAATCACTCCTCAGGAAGGAGGTTACACCACAGTACCTTCTTTTCCATTCTCCTCCTGAGATTTTGGGCATGCACGCATATATGCCTGGCACAAGTCTCATGTCACCAAGTCTGGGACTTGAACTATAGTCAGCCATGTGGAAGTCTGGTGCCTTGACCTCTATGCCACCCACTGAGCCCAAGATGATTATTCTTATTTTATTTATTTATTTTTATTTTTGAGATTTTTTGCTATAGGGATGTGCACTCTTGAAAAGACAAAGTGAGATGGAGACGGGAAGGAAGAAATCACTCTCCATGGAGGGTGGACAGGCCATAGTCCTTTCCCCTCTATTCTCCTCTCCAGATTTTAGTCACTCATGTACAAGACCCAGCATAAATTTCAAGCCACCGGGTCTGGAGCTTGAACCATAGTTGACCACATCAGAGAGAGTCCAGCGCCTTAACCACTGTACCACCTGTTGTCCCTCCCCAGTAAGGTTTCTTAGTACAGATTATTGTTTGGTGTGAAAAGCAAAATAAAAATGTTTATTAGATTGGGTAATAAGAATTTTTAAATGTATTTCTAGACACTCAGTTTATACTGAAACTAATAAGACTATTGTTTTTTGTAGAGGACTTAACCTTTTTTAATAAAAATTGTCATTCATGTGGCTAATGTTAGAGGGTATTAACTGTAAAATGTATGTTTACATTTTGAACAGTATACTGTAAGATACCATACAAAGCTTAAAAACCTGTTTGTCTCTTAGGCTTGTATTAGCCATGATAAAAGTACAAATATTTAAAATGCAGTTTGGTGAAAAATAAAACTATACTTTTTTTACTTGCAGTTTTAACATTAACTACTTCTGGCATCTACTAGAATTTTGGTTAATATAATTAATATTAGAAATAAAAATGAATAATTGTGCTGAAATAGGAGTGATGTGTAATTCTTTGCCTAAAAGAGGCCAAAAGCTTTTCCCCTCAAGATGTGGTATTTGAAATAAGTAAAACTAATGATAGTTAAATTTTAAGAACTGAAATATTGTGTATTATTCTGAAATAATGATTCTTTAGATTAGAGCTTGACAGGTTAGTTTTATTCATTTTTATGACACTTCATATTTATATATGGTATGTCTTTTCTTTTCCATGTTTCTTAAAGTAATAAAATCAATTAAACTTTTAGGCTGGCAGTTCAGGGATATGTCTAATTTATGACTTGCCACTTTGAATTCTTAGTATTCAAAGAATTGTAAAAATCTGTTTCTTGGCAAAACTTTCTTAATGTCACTGGGTTTGAGAAAGACAAGTTATTCTCAATAAACACCTGCAACCCTTCCTAGGCTTATTTGACCACAATATCCTGTTTTCAAGATCTTTAGGGAGACCAGTTCTATGACTTGCAGTTTGGGAAATGCTAGTTCATATAATTTAATACAAATATTGAAAAATTCTCAATTTGTCAACATTTTTGGTGAAGAAATTAAGGAGATTCAGGATGAAGTTGAAGGAAGGTAGTGATGATTGAATGTTTTGAAGATTTATCAGAAGAGTAAGTGTTTCAGGTAGGGGTGGCAGGGCTGGTGATATTTTTTTCTCCCCCCGACATTAAAACAAACTTTCTGTCTTTTGAACTTTTGTTGAGTATTAACTTTTTTAAGATTCTTTTTTTTAATCCTAAAGAAATTATTAATCCCGAAAGAAGTGAGAGAATTGTAAATGCTTTCTAACTACATTTTAGGAAATGTTTTCAAAAGTTAAGATACAGAGATTCAGGGCCAGCAGATGGTATAGGGTTGTGTTGCTGGACTCCCAAATGTCCCAGCGTAGTTCAAGTCCTGGACCTGGTGACTTGAGAATCATGCTTGGCATGTGTGTGTGCATGCCAAAGATCCTGGGAGGGGAATGGAGGAGAAGGGATTGCAGGTTGGCCATCCCTCCGGAAGGTGATTTCTTACTTTTCCCTCTTATTGTCTCTGTCTCTCTCTCTCTGGTGAGGGCACATGCCATAAGCCAAAAACCTCTTTTAAAAAATACAGGGACCAGCAGTTAGCGTAATGGCTATGTCGTTGGACTCCCATGTAGTCGACTGCGGTTCAAGTCCCAGACCTGGTGGCTTAAACACACACTGGGTGCATGTGCGTGCATGCCCAAGATCCCAAGAGGAGGACAGAGAAGAGATTGCGGCGTGGCCATCCCCCCTGGGGGATAATTTTTCACTTTCTGTCTCTGTCTCTGTCTCTCTCTGTCATCCTATAGCAAAAACCTCTCAACAAACATACAAAAAACAGATTCATTTTAAAGTTCTTTCCATTCACTAACAATTTACAGTCTCTTAAAAAAGCAAATCAACCATTTAAGTTAGTATGTAAATGTTATAGTATAGGGAACCAGCAGTTAGCGTAATGGCTATGTCGCTGGACTCCCACGTAGTCGACCGCGGTTCACGTCCTGGACCCGGTGGCTTAAAACTCACGCTGGGCGCGTGTGCGTGTGTGCCCAAGATCCCGAGAGGAGAATGGAGGAGAAGGGATTGCGGCGTGACCATCCCCCCTGGGGGGTGATTTCTCGCTTTCTGTCTCTATGTCTCTCTCTGTCTGTCTGGCGAGCGCACACGCCCTACAGTGAAAATCTCTCAAAAAAAAAAATGTTATAGTATAAATAGTTGAGTATGTAAATTTTATAGTATAGTTGTTTAAAGAGAAAAGAGTCGATATTCTTTGGTGAAAAACTATTGTTTTCTTATAGTTATTTCATCTTTTCTCCTAGTAAAATATATTTGAAATGGTATTTTCTTCTAGATTCTTATAAATAGATTATTTGATGTTCCACATGATCCATATGTCAAAATTAGTGATTCCTTTTGGCCACCTTATATTGAACTGCTTCTACGTAATGGAATTGCCTTGAGACATCCAGAAGATCCAACTCGAATAAGATTAGAAGCCTTCCATCAGTAAAAGGATGATCTTTTTTCTTTTAACACAGTAAAGAATCATGTCATTCAAGGATAATGGAAACACAGGACGATTTGGATAAAGAACAGGATTGCAAATCAAAGAACATAGTCCATCTTCCTTTTATCCTTACATGACACATAACCATCTACTATTCACTTTGAAATGGTCCTTTCTTATTTAGTCAGTGCTTTGGTGTTTTAAACTGTATGAAGACTGCAAATAAAAGGTATTCTAGACTTACAAAGCATTTAATGTACCTTACTTCATACAATATTCTTTGAAAAAACCTAATTCATGATGTTGCTAGTGTAATATTTTTCTTTTTAAATTTATAGCGGTATGTTTTATGCATTTTGCGTTCTAGTTGGTGGTTAAATTCTTTGTATTTTGGAATTATACTGTAAAGACTATTTAATTTGCAGATGGCTTTAAAATTGAAGTAATAATCTGATGTAGGAGGAGGCATAATTTAAAATAGTAAATATGTATTGTCTTATTTCTAAATATGTAAAAAAGTTGAGATATAAACATATTAATGGATAAAGCTAGCCTTAGAACTACATTTTGCTGTGTGTTATGTACCAAGTGACATTCTGTATTAATTCATTTTTATTCTGCTAGTTATTACCAACAAAATTGTGTTCATAACATCTTATTAATCCTTTATAAATTGTAAGTAAATAAAATTCTCTGAAAACCTTCCAGCTGTTGGGTGATGTGGCGTATTTTTATAAATAAAAAAGACTTTTTTACAGGTTGATAAATTAAGATATTACAGAACCCATTCAGGGTTACATACAAACTGAACAAGAGAATTTTAGTATCGCATTTAGTAGTATTAATGTTCTTTTTTTTTTTTTTAATTTGCTGTAGGGCATGTGTACTCACCAGAGAGAGACAGAGAAAGAAGGAAAGTGAGAAGGTACCCCAGGAGGGATGATCACCACAATTACTTCTCCATTTTCTCAGGATGTTGGGTGCACATGCACCTGGTGTGTTTTTTCAGCCCCTGGTTCTGGGACTCGAATCACATAGTTGACCACGTAGGGTCTAGCCACTTTTACTGCCATGCCATCTGGCTGACGTAGTATCATTAGTTTTCTAAGAAAAATTTGTATGTCATCTGCAAACAGATAATTTCAGCTCTTCTTTCCCAATTGGAATGCCTTTTATTTCCTTCTCTTGTCTGATTACACTGGCTAGAACTCCTATGCCAATTTTACTGAGAGTCTAGATCATAAAGCCATGTTGTATTTTGTCTAATGCTTTTTCTATATCAGTTGAAATGATCATATGTTTTTTTTTTCCTTTCTGTTATTATGGTATATTACATTTATGTTTTTGCATATGTCGAACCACCCTTGCATCCCTGGAATGAAGTCTACCTGGTTGTGATGAATAACTTTTTGCATATGCTGTTGAATAGGGTTAGCAAGTATCTTATTGAGAATTTTTGCATCTATATTCATCAGAGATATAGGTCTGTAGTTTTCCTTTTTTGTCATATCATTGTCCGTTTTGAGAATGAGGGTAATGGAGGCTTCGTAGGATGAATTTGGAAGGGTTCCTTCTTTTTGGATCTCTAGAAACTGTGAGTAGGATGGGGGTTACCTCTTTTTTAAAAGTTTTGTAAAATTTGGCAGTGAAGCCATCAGGGCCTGGACTTTTTTTGTTGTTGTCGGGAGGTTATTTATTACTGATTCAATTTCATTGCTTGTTATAAGTCTGTTCAGGCATCCTGTGTCCTCCTGAGTCAACCTTGGTACATTATATGTGTCCAGAAATTTGTCCATCTCATCCAGGTTTTCTTCTTTGTTGGCATATAGTCACTCATAGTATCCTCTAATGATCTTTTTTTTTGAGAGGTTTTTGCTATAGGGCACGTGCGCTCACCAGACAGAGAGAGACATAGAGACAGAAGCAAGAAATCACCCCCCAGTGGGGATGTCCACACTGCAATTCCTTCTCCTCCATTCTCCTCTTGGGATCTTGGGCACACACGCACACACACCCGGCGTGAGTTTAAGCCACTGGGTCCAGGACTCGAACCACGGTCAACTACGTAGGAGTACAGCGATATAGCCATTACACTAACTGCTGGTCCCGATATTTTGTATTTCTGTTCTGTTTGTTGTAATGTCTGATTTGTTGCAAATTTGACTTATCTGGTTCCTTTCTCTCTTCTTAATTAGTCTGGCTAATGGTGTGTCAATCTTGTTTATCTTTTCCAAGAACCAGCTTTCGCTTTCATTTATTTTCTGTATAGTTTGCTTATTTTCTGTTTCATTTATTTCTGTTTGAATCTTTATTATTTCTTTCACCTGGTGTTTTTTTGTTATTCTTTTTCCAATTTCCTGAGGCATGATGTACATAGAAGACCCAATAGTATCCATGGAAAAACTTCTCGCAGTAATAAATGCATACATAAAGTGGCAGTATACTAAATTAACTTACAAAAATCTATAGCATTTCTATATACAAACAACAAGCAGATAGAGACAGAACTGAAGAATGTAATTCCATTTACAATAGCCACAGAAGTATAAAATACTTGGAAATAAAACTAACCAAGGAAGTCAAAGACCTCTACAAGGAAAACTATGAAAACCTCAAAAAGGAAATTGAAAAGGACACTAAAAAGTGGAAGGACTTCCCATGTTCCTGGATTGGCAGAATCTACATAATTAAAATGGCAATCCTACCCAAATTAATCTACTTGTTTAATGTAATCCCTATAAAATTACAAGAGACATTCTTCACAGATTTAGAAAAGACAATCATAGGATTTGTCTGGAACCATAAAAGACTCCGTTTTGCTAAATCCCCGTTTTGCACAAGAAGACAGGAGTAGGTGGCATCTCTCACTTCCTGACCCCAGAATATATTACAAAACTGTGATAATCAAAATAGCACATGGTATTGGCACAAAACAGACATGAGGGCCAGTGGAACAGAGTAGAGACTCCAGAAATAAATTCCAAGACATACAGCCAACTGATTTTTGTCAAAGGATACCAGTCAATCCAGTGGGAAAAAGGAAACCTCTTTAGCAAATGGTGTTGGAAAAACTGGGTATCCACCTGCAGAAAGATGAATCTGAACCTCTATCTATCACCATTAACAAAAGTCAACTCAAAGTGGATCAAAGATCTAAACCTAAGACCGCAAACTATAAAACTACTGATGGAAAACACTGGGGAAACTCTGGGAGACACTAGGATAGGCAAAGACTTCTTAAGCAAGACCCCCAAAGCACAGGCAATAATCCTCAAAATAGACAGGATTACATTAGATTAAGGAGTTTCTGCACAGCAAAAGACACTATAATTAGTGTGAATCGACAACCTTTGGAATGGGAGAGAATTTTTGTTAACTGTGCCTTAGATAAGGGACTGATAACTAGAATACACAGGGAACTCAAGCAGCTTACCTGGAAGAAAATGATTAACCCCATTAAAAGATGGGAAAATGAGCTGAATAAACAACTCTCTAAGGAAGACATATGAACAGCCAAAAAGCATATGAAAAAGTGCTCAACATCCTTCATTGTAAGGGAGATGCAGATCAAAACCACAATGAGATACCACCTAACCCCACTTAGACTGGCGAAGATAAAAAAAAAATAATAATGATAAGTGTTGTAGGGGATGTGATGAAAGGGGAACACTCCTACACTGTTGGTGGGAATGTAAATTGATCCAGCCACTGTGGAGAATGATATGTAGGTTCCTCAAAGACCTTCAAATAGAACTATCATGGAACCAGCAGTTAGCATAATGGCTATATTGCTGGACTCTCATGTAGTCAACTGCAGTTTGAGTCTGGCCCCGGTGGCTTAAACTCATGCCGGGCATGTGTGTATGCATGCCCAAGATCCCGAGAGGAGAATGGAGGAGAAGGGATTGTGTCATGGCCATTCCCCCTG